AGGCGGGGGGGGGCGCCCCTTCCTCTCTCCACGCACCCCTCCAGTGCCCTTGGCGCCCTTCCACCCCCCGCTCCTGCGCCCCTGCAAGTCTGCTCTGGCCGAGCGGCGCGTTGGAGGGGAGCGCTCCCAGCTCAGGGGTCCTCGGCCGGCGGGCCGGCTCTCCCGGTAGGGCAGCCAGGGGGGCACCTGGGGCCCCGCCTGCCGCCTCCCGGAGAGCCCCTCCCCGCGCCTGGCCCCCCGCCGGGAGGAGGAGGAGGGGGGGGCGTCCCGGGACTGGCGTGGCCTGGCCGGGCTGGGCGCGCAGGGCGGGGGGGGGGGCGCCGAGGCCGGCCCTGCCTCTCCGGCCAATGAGGAGCGCCCCGCCTTGACACCTGCCTATATAGAGCCGGCGGCCGCCAGGGCTGCGGCGCGGAGGAGGCGGCGGCGGCGGCGGCGGGAAGAGGAGCAGCAGCAGCAGCCCGACGGCGGGGCCCCGAGCGCGCCACCCGCCCTCCCCTCCTCTCCCCATGACTTCCAGCCAGGTCGAGGTGCCCGGCGGCGTGAAGGCCGACCCGGCCGCCCTGATGGCCTCCCTGCATCTGCTGCCCTCGCCCGCCCTCAACCTGGAGGTCCAGCACACCAAGGTGGGTCCCTCGGGGGCGCCCCCGGCCCCGGCCCCACTTCGAGGAGCCGAGTTCGCCGCCTTCCCGGCTCCCGTCGGCGGTGCGCCGCTGTGCAGCCTCGACCGGGGCGGAGGGACTAGACTGCAGGCCCTGCAGGGGACTTGCCCGCGAGGCCGGATCCGCGCCGTCCGCCCAGGCGCGCTGGAGGAGGGCGGGCGTGTGGCGCGGCCGGTCCGGGGGTGGGGGTGGGGGTTCGGCCTTTTCCGAGCGGCAGGCCATCGTGTCTTGCGCCGCCCGATCGGTCCGGCGCCTTGCGCGGGGGCTCTGTCCGCTGAAGCGCGCCAGGCAGGCGTTTGCGGGTGGCGCCCGAGTTCCCCCGCAGGGCTGGCTGTGCGGGACGGGCGGGCGGCACCAAACCGACGGTCAGGGGGAGCCGGTTCCAGAGCCCCCTCCCGCTTGCCCCCTTCCCGTCCCTTTCTTCCGTGGCCCGACTTCCTTCCCGGTTCCCCGGCCAGGCCTCCTGCTCTCCCGTGCCGAAAGCGCGCCCGGCGACGGCGGCCATCGAGCCCTCCCCCAAAGTCTCCCGTTCTCCGGTCCCTTTCCCCGGTGGGGAGCCCCAAGTGGGCCCTTCCCGACCCGGCCGGCCGGCTGGCTTGCTGCTGGCGTCCCCGGGCGCGATCCAGCCAGCGTCTGGCCACTGGACCTCCCTTCGCCTGGCGGTGGGACGGAGGTTGCTCCCCTCCCGCTTGCGGAGTGCCCGGTGGGGAGGGCGGTGGGTTCGGGGCGCCGGTTCATCATCGACCCCGGGGGAGGCGGCGACGTCTCGCTGGCCGGGGGTGGGTGG